TGCTACTGCTACTGCTATTACTGCTAATACTCCCGCTGCTGCTGGTACGACTACGACTACAACAACGACTTCGACTTCGACGTCGACAACGACGACTACATCGACGACGACGACGACGACGACGACGACTACTGCTACTATGGTTGAAGAGGTTCGCTCTCGAAGTGTCCTTTTGGTTTGACTTTGTCCATAGGTTGCCCAGTTTTCTGCAATTCCATAAATCATGGGTGTAAACCTACACACACAATATCTCTCGATGTCTCTCTCTCTCTCTCTCCCACCTTTGTATGTGTGTATAATTGTGTGTATATATACATGCATGTATTATGTATGTGTGCATACATGTAGTATAACATATGTGTGTATACATATGTATATATATATACACATACATACGCGTACACCTGCACTGCCTTTCCTGCTTAATCCAAGGTCAAGTATACTCCTCGACATGAAACCCAGAAGCTTTCCAAACGGTCGTCGAGTCCAGCATTTATGCACGAAATCCGAAATCTCTGATAAAACTGTAACACCCTTTTTAAAAAGTGAGTTCGAAACCGTTACGCCGTAGACGCACAGAGGAGAGCTTTAGCTTCGGGCCTGGGCCTGGGCCGAAGCAGTCGCCGCGAATGCCGGAAGCCTCGGGAGCCAGGTTTCCGGAAGAGGGATTTTGGTTTTGCTTTGGGGTTTAGGGGTTGGGGTTTGGGGTCTTTGTTTTTTGACTTTGGGGTTTAGGGTTTAGGGTTTTTGATTTTTGTTTTTGGGTTGTATGCGTGCGTGTGTGTGTGTGTGCGCGTGCGTGCGTGTGCGTTTTTGCTATTGTTTGCGCAAGGCAAGGGCTGTTGACGGGTTCCTTTCTTACGGGTCTTCTTCATCTTGGCTTAAAGCAACCACGGATCAGTAGAGCGGCTGCATCGTGAAGAGATGGGATGCATTACCCGGTCCTGCGCAGTGACCTCGTGTAAGCAGGAAGGGCCCAAGTACGATTGAGAGAATTGCGCGTGTAGGGCAAATCCAGAGAATTGGGACTAAGCCTAAGCAGTCCGAGTAGGGGAGAGCCCAGGCTCCAAGCCAACACGATGCTAATAGCACATAAAACCTGATGCTCTAAATCCTAGCTGGGGTACCAAAGCCCCGACACCGCTTCGCAGCTATCAGGAGCTGCAATCTTGAAAACCCATAAGGCATAAAAGGCTGCCTGGTTAGGGCATCTAGCGTGTGGAATCTAGGTTTTGGGCAGCAGGGGTTAAGGTTTGGGGAATTCGTGTTCGGCTTCAGGGTCTAGGGTTCGGGACATGCTGCACACTTTAATTACATTAGATTTCGGAAGGAACACGATCGATGGACTTTGGGTGTTATTTCATGGAGTCTTTGAGGCTAAGGCTGGCTGCCCTCCCACTTCCATCGCTTGCAGGGGGCAGGTTCTCTTTGGGAGCTTCACCTCCTTACCAGTATTGGATCCTTGGTTCCATGAGAAAGCTTCGGGAGTGCTATGGATAGCTAGGGCTTGCTACCCTATAAGTCCTCCAACTTAATGACCAGAGGCTTCCGCGATCCGGAAACAAGCATCCTCAGAGACATTACTAATGTTCGACTGATCGGAGGTCTTGGCATGTTGTGCTTTGCAAGAAAACGTGAATCTCTGTTCAGAGCCTGCAAACCCTTGGAGTTTAGCCTTCCCGAAATTTTGAAGAAGGTCATCATTGGCTTTCGCCTTTGTCGACACGACGCGGCCTCGGATCTTGTGACGATTCCGGGTGGCCCAAAGCTCTAAAAATTTATGGGAATCTACGGTCTAGGATGACGAAGACGCTACAAGGCTGCTATCTGATTCGTTTACGGTCTTGCTGGCGTTGTCATGATGGCAGAAGGCCTGAAGGGAGGCTCCTCCACAAGTTAATGGGATTTGAGAGTCGAGGCTTCGAGAGTTGAGGCTTCTGTGACCATGATTTGCTCTCTATCTCCAGGTCGTGGTGTTTGGGTTGAAGGTCTTGGGATGCTAATAAAATCAAGTCCCCTCATGGCCTTATGTCCGTCATCCTAGACCCTAAAACTTGAAGCCACAAACCTCTAAACTCTACATCCTAGACCTGAAACCTATGCTGCAGAAGACCACCTGACAACCCGAACCCGATCCTTACACTTCAATCCCAAATCCCTAAGCCTAGAACACCTTCAACCTATGACGCGCGTGCAGAACTTATAGTAATACTTAATCCGGAATCCATCGTTTGATTCCTGATGCAAGAAAAGTTATACTACTCACCATCACCACCATAGCCACATACCGATCAGGACCATAGGCGCAATGACCACGAGAATGAGCATAGTAACAATGGCAATATGAAGAGTAGTAGGAGTGGAATCGAAATAGCAATTCAAGTCACAAAGCAAGGTAGTTAATGGCCTTCAAAGGACCACTTCCACAGAGCCTTTGCGCCGGGGATCGGCATCAGAGCTACGCTCCTTGGCTAGAGGAAGGTACAAAGACAGCTGGCTTGTCATAGGGGCTTTATCAGGGTTGTGGGGATTACGAATTACATGAAGGAGGCTTTAGCAGGACTGGTTGTGGGGAATGGGAAAGGTATATGCACTTCTCTCTCTCTCTCTCTCTCTCTGCACTTATGATGTGTATGGACTTTGATTGATTGGCAGACAGTACTAGTGCTGGTATGATTCTTAACATCACAGTATTGCTAAAACATTGCTCGCACTGGTATGCTTGATTGTCATGGTGTTGATGGGTTTTACAGCTCAGGCTTTAGAGGTTTGGGGCTTACCAGTTGAGTGTGTATAAACTCAATGTCTTGCCGTCTGTACATATTTCTAGGCAGGACCCAGTTATTTGGTCTTGGAGGTTGCGCACCTTGTACTCCAAACTCTAGCTTCCAGTCTCCACGCAGTATGGTGCTCGAGCTCAAGTGAGCACGATCTTCAAAGCGACCTAGGAGCCTTGTGCTGAAAGGAACGTCCATAAACCTACAACCCTAAACCCTAAAGCCTAAACCCCAAAGCCTAAGAGTGAGTCTCATCTCATGCAGAGAAAGAGGCTAGTGCACTTTACCAAAGAAAAGCCATGGAAAGCCTCCTCCCGGCAGTTTGGGGTTAGGCTTTAGGATTTAGGGCTGAGCCTCTCAACCCTAAACCCCAAAACCCCTAAACCCTAAACCCCAACACCCCAGAAGCGTAAACCCTAAACCCCAAAACCCTAAACCCCTAAACCCCAAAACCCCAAACCCCAAACCCTAAACCCTAAACCCCTTAAACCCCTTAAACCCCGAAACCCCTTAAAGCCCGGCAGGCTACCACCCCTTCTTCGCACAGTCGCCTTTGCACCCGCCCCTGGCAGAGTTCAGCGACTGGGAGCCTCGGCCCGGTCACGGATTTTTGTCACTCTTTAGGGTTTAGGGTTTAGGGATTAGGGTTTAGGGTTTAGGGTTTAGGGTTTATGGATTATGGCTTAGGGTTGCGG